ATTGGTGTCTCTCCGCTATGCCCACCAGCCAATCAGGATGAGTATGCAAATTAACCCAACAAAGATGGTGGTTAATTTGCATATGCAGGCACAGAGCGAAGACTGAAGACTGAAGATGACTGAAGACTGAAGAGGTATGGCTTCTCTGCTGCAGCTCGAGTGGAGAAGCCAAGCCTCGCTGCTGTGGCCAGACCAAAGGCCTAGGTCCTGGGTGCCGGCAGCCAGGGGAAGGAAGGCCTATTGCGTGAATCTTCGTGCAACGAGCCTCTAGTCCTATATAATAAAAGGGTAATATGCAAATTTCCACTCTCCTAAGAGAGGAAAGTTCGGGAATGACTGGTCGCTATGACATGCACTGACCACCAGGGGGCAGACACTCAATGCAGGAGCTGCCCCCTGGTAGTCAGTGTGCTCCCACAGGGGGAGTGCCACTCGGCTGACCAGGATGAGCAGCGCTCCCACATCTGGTCGATCCCCGCAGGCCACATCCTTGACCAGTGCACGAATCCATGTACTGGGCCTCTAGTAGTATAAATAAAAGATAGAGAATTCCCAGCCTTCACTGAGCCTCACATGCTATCTGGGGGATACAGGCAATCAATAAGTAAACTCTACAGACCAATATGTGAGGCAGGTGATAAGGCTAGAGAGAAAAAAGGGAAGGGATATAGGGGGAGGAGGAGGGAAGAAATAATAAAATAGGGTGTCGGGAAGGCTTCAATGAGGAGGTGGCATTTGAGGAAAGGCTGAAGGAGGTGAGAGAGGCAGCAGGGGGAACAGCATCCCAAGCAGAGGGAACTGCAGTAGAAAAGGGTCAGAAACTCAGAGCCCATTGTAAAGCTTTTACTCTGAATTGCATGGAAAGACACTGGTGGTTCGAGCAGCCAGGGAGCCAGATCAGGAGGTCATTGCAATATTACAGGGAGGACCTGGGGGTGGGAGGGCTCAGCCCAGGGTGGTAACTGTGAATGGTTAGAGGGACAGTCGGATTCTAGGTGCATTTCAAAGACAGAACCCACAGAATCTCCCGATTGTTGGTCTGGGAGTGAGAGCTAAGAGAAGGAGAGAGGAATGAGGTTTGATTGCTGCTTGCTTGTTTGACATTTACCAGGGCAACTAAAATGCTGGGCCCTCTCCTGGCTGAGCTGCAGCCTCCAGCAGAGGCTGGTGTGGATAAAGCCATCAAGGTTAGGGTGCTTTAAGTCTGAGGCAGCTGTCAGAGGTCCGGGGGATATGTGGGCTAGACAGGAAAGACAGGCCTTGGTAGACAAGAGCCCAGAGGCATTATTTAAAAGTGAGCAATCGAGGGGAGGGATGTAGATGAAAACACTAAATGTGAGTTTAAGCTCTGAGGTCTGGATTGTGGACAAGCCAAAGCAAATATTGATTGGGATATCCTCTCCGTAGCAAAAGAAGAAACCAAGGAGGACAGTTAAACTGTTCCATGCAAGCCACACACTCAGGTTAATGATGTGCAAACTGTCTGATTCACCACTCATCCAAGGATACATTTTTAGGGCCTTTTGGGGGTTAGCCAAATAATTGTAGACAGCTGCTCCCCTGCTGACCCCACAGCCCCCCAAATAGTAACATGGACATTCCTGAACAAATACTGCCCAGGGCACAGCTTGAGGCCTCCATGAGCCAGCGAAGAGTAAGCTGGAGAATGAAGATGTGAAGATACCAGGACTTTTGAGTAATAGGAATTGAATTTCATTAAGCTTTTCTATGTTTAAAGAAAAGTCAATATGTATGTGATTACTTAATCACTTAAACTGGTTAGGGTCTCAACTAAAGATGAACACTTATGCACTATCCATTTGTGGGGACAGTCTTAGAATGTTTCCTATCACATTAAAAAAAAATCACTTACATGTATATAATTTGTAAAAGCTTCATCCAGTGAGAATGCCTCCAGCTGCATAAATGTTTATGCCTCTGGGCACTTGAAAATATAAAAATAAAGAAATCAATAATCCCTATATCCTTCCACTGATTCCAACTCATCTTTGATTTTACTAAAGAAATCATACAGTCAGAATCAATGCTGTATGCTTTCACTGCATTTTTACGAGTATTATCTGATTTAATGCTCCCAACATAGCTAATGTTCATTGTATACACTTGAAAACTGAGGCCAAGAAAGGTCAAGGGTCATAGAGCTAATGAGTCATAGAAGCAGAATTTGTTCTCTTTTTCCAAACCCGAGGGAGCATCTCTTGGCCCAACAGCTGCTTTCCATGAAATGTTGTTTTCTTGTTTAATTATAAACCCTCCCAAACACGGTTCTAATCCACTGACACTTGTCTGGATTCCATTAATAAAACCACTATGTCATATTAGTTCCTAAAGAGGCTCATGAATTGCAGTTACGTGTTCACTCTGTGAAGTTCAAGGGGCACTGGCTGGGCACCCACTTTGTACCAGACACTCTGGCCTGCCTCCCTCAGACTTACACCTGTTGCCTGCGGTTCCAGATCTGCAGCCTAGACGAGCACCATTACCAGGGCCCACTTTGGACAGAGGTTCCCTATACCGTTTCCCCGAAGCATTTTCCACCATTGCTTGCAGTCTCCATTCAAAACTCTAGTTTGCACTGCTTTCTGACAACTATGTGAATAAGTTATATAATGAGAACACTTTTTAAAAATTTACTGGTGACAAAACCAATGTTAACAAAGAAGACCAGATTCCTTTGATCATATTTTTCACCCTTTCTCTCCATGAGCAATAACCATCTTCTAACAGATATTCTAAAAATCGATGTGAGTGTTAACACAGTCTAAATGAATAAATCCTGAGAAAGTCTACTGCTTGCTGGCATACTCTAAGATATAAAATGAATGCAAACTATATTTCCTTTCCTTCTGCTCCAAATATCTGTCCATAAACATTGGCACACACATAGGACTATATTGTGTCAGTTGCAGTAATACAGAAAAATAATCTCAATTACCATAAGCTAGAAAGTTATGGTAACTAGTCTTTCAAATAAATCACCATGTGTCACAATTTGGCATAAACTCCGATCCTGATGAATAATTCACATTTTCTGCATTAATAATGCACGTCCTCTTCCTATTGGAATGCTCCCTAACGCAGAATGGCTGTCTCTGAGCAATTTCCTCAATTGACATGATGGAGTAAGTCTAAACTTAGAAAGGCGTCTTTTTAATGCTGCCTTTACTACTGTAACACTCTGGCTTGCCCATAAGATTATAAAAAATATAAAGTTCCTATCATTTCCTGCCCTTTGCATGAGAGTCACTCAGTTAGGTGCCCAACAGTAGTTGCTCCAGCTGCTGAGACTATCTGCAAAGCAAAAGCGGATCAAGGGAACCCAGAGCGTGCTGGTGGGGATTGGTTAGTTTTGTGACATCTCTCCCTAATTATCTATGCACAATAGCACAGGGCATAAATGCTAAAACAAAACATGGTGATGGGCAGGGATGGGGGTGGGGGGGGAGAAGGAGGAGGAGGAGGAGGAAGAGAGGGACCAAAACGAACCAAGCAAGAGTTTTTAATAATTACAAATGCTTCCCATCACCAGGTTTTCTTTCCAAGCCATTTACCACAGTGAAATTATCAGGCACATAAAGGTGCCAAGGTGCCAACGACACATATTTGTAGAGAGACTTCACTATAACTCTCTTCCCAGTGGGGCCAGTCCACATCACCGTTGCCATTTATTATGATTTCAGACATTATTAAGTTAACTTTCCTTCCCCCACCTCTCGCCAAACGCACACAATAAACAAAGACAGCCACAGCACCTGACGCGAGGCAAAGAGAAATGAGGTAGTTTGAAATTAAAAAAAAAAAATCATGCCAGTATCCTCCCCGTCCCTCCAGCATCCTTTGTGGTCACTCAAGCCAAAGGGAAGCAGAATGAGTTCTCTCTGAAGTCCCATCAACGCAGAGAACAGGCGGGAGGAGAGGAGCCATCCCTGTGCCTCCTCTGTCCGCGGTGGGTGCTCTCCGATTCATTCATTCTTTCCTTCAGCACCAATTTAGGGAACACTCGCTCTGTGCAGGGAGCAGGTCCCACCCAGCTGAAAACCACCACCCGGGCTAAGGACCGGGGAAAATTCAGGCTCCGGCCCCGTCCCCAAGACGGCTGGCCAGAGGCCGCCCACGCCGCCTTTGCCAACACCTGGGACAGAGGTGGGTCACTGTCCAGGACCCCAAGTCCAAGGAGACCTTTCACGGGGCCGCAACCTCTCCCTGGGGTCAGAGGGTCGGCGACCTGGTCCGCACCGCGGGCGCCTGCCCCTTTCTCCGCCTGCGGATCCCTCTCCGGGAAAAGTTCAGGCGGCGGCGAGTGGGAAGAGGGGCACCGGGCATCCGGCGGGCTCCGCACCCGCCCCGCTCCTAGCTCTAACTCCCATGGCTACCGAGAAATATTTATTTCGAGTAGATGGGCTCTAGCGGCTACTGGAGCCGAACACGCGGCCACCATCGGAAAGCCAAGTCATCGGAGAGATAAAGATAGACCCATGACACGCCCAGACCTGGCCCTGCAGCGGCCGCCCCAGAGGAGTGGGTGCCCGCGGGGCGA